TCTCTTCCTACAAATAATCATTTATAATTTCTTCTATTATAGGTTATTGATTAAAGAATCTGTGAAACAATTATCAAATCTAATTTGTGAAATTGCTCACATAATCTATATATTATTAAAAGAAGAAGAAAAAGCATTCACATTAAACCAAGTGACAGTCTCGCAATAGATCACTTGGCATTTAGGAAAAGATTAGTTAGCTTAGGTAATAATATTTTTTTGAATTTAAATTTTAAAAAATAAATAAATTATGCATTATGTGTTGTTAATAGCTAGTTATTCTTTTTGGATTTGAATTTAAACACATTTATTAACTATTTTTTTACGAAAATAATAATTTTTTATATATTTAAAAGTATTTCTATTTTATGCTCAATGCACCCAGAATCATCTTGTTACAGCTACCATAACTATACATAATTTCATCCGACGACATTCTCCTACTGATAAGGAATTCAATTATTATGCTAATGAGGGCATTATTGCGGAGATTGAGGAAGGAAATGAGCCTTCTGGTATTCCTCTAAAAATGCAAGGCAAGTCTTATACTAATGTGGAGGCGTTTTATAAATTATTGAGAAATGTTATCGTGTGTGAGTGACTTTGCTTATTATTTCATGATGGATTATCAATATACGGTAATTTGTGGGTTAGACGTGTAATTCATACTGATATACTTTAATTATTCAAATCATCATGTAAACAATAAGTATACTAGATAATATTCTATATCTTGGTATAACTATATATGTTATATTGATTTAAATCTTTAATATGTATGTTTACTTTATATTTTATATTTTAATTAAATAAAATAAATAATAATAAAAGTTTCTTACGATAAATATTTAAGTTTATCTTCTCTTTAAAATAATTATAAGACCTTGGTACTATCCTTTTTTTTGGTAATTTGACACTCAAAAGCACTTTTTAAAAAGATTGGCCAAATACAAATTGTTTACCAAATGTTACAAAAAGTACTTATTAAATGAATTGGCCAAACACAAACTATTTTTTTTTCCAAAATACTTTTGGATAAAGCACTTCTAAAAATAGTATTTTTCAAAATAAGCAGTTTTTGGCAGCTTGGCCAAACAGGCTCTTAGTGTAAACACGAATACAATTAAGTATTTATCGTACAAGCACTAGGCTACAACAAATGCTTCGACAAAAAATAATTTTACACTCGAAGCACTTTACTTCAAGTTCGTGATTTCTCAACAAGTCAACCATGAAACCAAAATGAATCTTTGCAAGGGAAAGTTTTAAGTTGATTAAGAGGCAATTTGGTGCTCTATTTAGAAGTCGCATTAGACATGGTAATGTTTTTTGTTTTGTTTTGTTTTGTTTTTTTCATTTTCGCCATGGAATTGGGTGGGTTTTTTTTTTTTGGATGGGGTGGGGGTGGGGGGAGATTAAAATATTTAAACGACACCAACTTATTCAAATACCCAACCCTTTGACGCAAATTAGTAGCGAAAGTACAAATGTCGAATATATAGTATTCTATTTTAATTAGTGTAAATACACCGTCTAACACAAAAGTCAAATACCAATATTTAATTCAACATTCATAATTATTTTAATTCATTCATTACAATCTAGTGTATTACACTTCTACCTAATCTTATATACCTCTAAGAACTATCCTATAACTTTGAGAACTAATATTAATGTGACAATTGCAGAAAGCAAAAGAGCACCAACTTTAAAAATAACTATAAAAATAGCGCAGTGCACGAATTATCCCGCGTTCATGCAGGGTTCAAGGAAGAGCCACATTTTAAGGGAGTGCGATATAGACAATCTATTCCGATAAAAACATCAGTGACTCATTCCACGACTTGAACTCCTGATGTACCAACAAAGAGCTCCAACTACCACCGCGAAATTATTATGTAGGCATCACTTTGAATAAGTTATTTGTATACACAATAATAATATATTCAATATATTTCCACAAATTATTTATATATATAAAATAAATTTTTTAATACAAATACATAATTTGAACCAGAGTACCTGAATTATGCGAAACTCCTAATTAGAATTGTAGCTCCATCCCAAATGTTAGGTGGTATACAAAGACGGCCAGATGGATCTTAACATAGATCAAAAACGAATATATCTGGCGTGGTCACCTAGGCAAATTACATATGGTGCTGTAATAATGTAGCACAATTTCTTTAAAGTCAAATACTCAAATTCATGAATTAGAACTCTGATTAAGGTTTATTTATTGATGTTACAGCACGATTTCGACCTTTCAACATATTTTAAGCCTGTCTTGTTTTGAGCGCTTAACCTAACATATTATGTTGGTAAGACAAAGTGTGTTTGTAATGCCACTGGGAAAAAAGAGATTGATCGTGATATTTGGGTTAAAATTGGATAGAGATTCAAAAAAATGTGACAATAAGAGATTAATTATGGAAGGTCTTAGCAATAAAATAGTTAATAAACGAGTATTTAGAATCATGTAATTAATTAATTAAAATAATAAAGTATAAGAAAAGGATATATAATACCATGCATTTTTTTTGGTAACAACTGTGAATATTGATAATAGGTGAATTAGACTATAATTGGACCCTAAAGAACCACATTTTTGTATAGCTTTGTGGTAAAAAGTGATAACCAAATGCTCTGATTAGTGCTTTTCATGCTTTGCAGGCTATATCCAACGAAAGAAGTCGATGGAGCAAGTTTGGGATCAATTACGGAGAAAATGAGGCCAATCAAACAATGCCCGCGAAATGCACCAAGTAAAGAGACAAAAGCAGAGCTGAACTTGGCCTGCCGCGGTCAGACCGTAACCGCGGTAGGACCGCGGCAGAGCAGAGCTGCAGATTCAGAGGACCTCTTTGGCCGCGGTCCAGGCGTAACCGCGGTGGGACCGCGGCAGAACGCGGAAAAGCCAGGGACTAAAGTGTCAAGTCGGGAAAACTTGGTGTAAAACCCTTATAAAAAGTAGGAATTCGGCCATATTAGGGCAGATTTGTTTTGGAGATTACTTTTGCAAGAAACACAAGTATGATAGATCACCCAAAAACATCATAGTTCTTATTCTCTTCTTTTTCTTGCAATTTTCCATGATAAATATTTTCGTAGTTTATCTTTATGTTGTTATGAGTAGCTAAATACTTTAGTCTAAGATTTTGATGGAACCTATTGAAGGATGAACTTCTTGATTATGTTCGTATAGTTTGCCGGTTAATCTCTATTTGTTCAACTACGTGTTTATTGTAGTTAATTGACAGGATTCTCAATTAGCTGTGCCTATTTAGTGTGCATAACTCGGGAGAGAGTGCATATTTAGGTCAATTGTTGAACAACACCACTCCCAAAGTATATGAGAAATCAATAACCGAGGGTTTAAAGGCGGGATTAGGGATAACGAAGCCTTGGGTGCAATCTAAAGTGAGCTGTAATAAACAAAGTCAGCTAGCGTATCTCGGGAGAGTGCGTCTAGTAAATTATCGCGATTACTCGGGAGAGATTTACGGTAAAAAGAGTGCTCATGATTGATAGAGATATTTTGGTGAATTTATATGAAACATAACCGGAAGGGATTCCATCAATAGGGAAAATCACTACCTTAGAACCTTCTCATTATTGTTTACAACCCAAGCATATTTAATTTACAGTTGTTTATTTATTTATCTTCAATCTTAGTTAGTAGAAATACCATCAACGATTGTTCACAACGTTTGGGGAAGTTGATTATAAAGAATTTAGTGATTCCAACAAAGGTAATTGATAGGTTAATTCTCTGTGGGATTCGACTCCGGACTTGTAAACCGGATTATATTTGCAACGATCGCATTGTCCTTTTTATAAGGCATAGTTGGGCCTGATCAAATTTTGGCGCCGTTGCCGGGGAATTAACGGTGTTATCAATTACAATTGAAAGAAGTACAAAAATTCTTAGTGTAGTTAGTTTTCTCTATACCCAATTTTTACATTGAAATTTTAACGTTTGTTGACTTGGTTGCACAGGTGCATGCCTAGAAACTCATCGAGATGTGGTGAAGTATTAGAAGCATTATCAGATCCCGAGAAATTTTTCAGGGCTTTGAATCGGGCCAACCGACAAAACAAACAACAACAAACAACTGCACAATTCGAAACAATCATGGGAGATAACCAGGAAAACCCAGCAGTACCAATAGCGCCAGCGCCAGAGGCTGCTCTCTATGACTGGGCACAACCCATAGCTGAGAATCTATCCACAGCGATAGTAGTCCCGCAGATACAGGCTGAGTCATTCCAAATCACAAATAACATGCTGCACTTGTTGCAGAATAAGGGACTATTTTCGGGGTCACAGGTTGAAGATCCTCAGCAGCACTTAAAGAATTTCTTATCTATCTGCAAAACCCAAAGGCAACCCAATGTAACTCCGAAAGCAATCAAACTGTTATTGTTTCCATTGTCAGTGACAGGAGCTGCCCAGACTTGGCTGAATTCACTCCCCATAAATTCTATAGCAACGTGGGATGAACTAGTCAAGCAATTTCACAACAAGTTCCATCCACCCAACAAGACTGCTCAACAAATTGATGAGATTTTGAGCTTTAAACAGAGACCGATGGAGACTTTGCATGAAACATGGGAGTGTTTTAAAGGGACGCTGGTCATATGTCCACACCATGGTGTTCCAGATCTAATGTTGGGGCAGCGGTTCTACATGGGATTGTCAGATAGCGTAAAGAACATTGTTGATGCTTCAGCTGGTGGGGCATTCTTGATCAAAACATGGAGAGAGGGCCAGAGTCTGCTCGACAAGATGGCACATAATTCGGGATGGATAACCAGAAATGCACCTATCACTCCAGTGGTGCACTCAGTGCCTTTAGATCCATCCAATTCTATGGCTGAAAATATGGCTACCTTGTTGACACAGATGAGCATACTCACTAAAAAGGTGGAAGAGTCTGGACAGAAACAGCAGGTACATACTGTTGATACTACTAACGGGGGCTTGTGCACATCTTGCATTAGTCAGCCAGTTGGTAACCAGTGGAACGCAGAACACGATCATCATCACTACCCTGAAGACATGAACTATGTGTCTAATTATGGCGGCCAGAGACAGGGTGGTCAGAATTGGGGTCAACAAAATCGGCAGTACAGGCCAGCACAGCCACAGTTCAACACTAGGAACATGAGAGGTATGAGACCCCCCAACAATATGGCACCTTATTCCACTTCTTTGATGTAAGAGGAAGGCCTAGGTACCTTATAGAAAAGGTCCCTAGTGTGAATCCAGTAATCTTCAACATATTCTGCCTTGTCTCCTCATCCACCTCTGCTACAAACATGCTAGATTTGTCTATGTTTGCTTCCAACCCTGTGGCATCACTGAAGTGTTGTATGCCTCCATTACTCTAGCTATGGATTTCAGATTTCCTTTGCAGAAAATCATCAAATCATCTGCAAATACTAAGTGAGTTAACTTTGTCTCCTTACACATGGGGTGGTACCTGAAGTCAGGGAGTTCACTCATCTTTCCAAGCACCCTTGACTGGTACTCCATAACTAGAACAAATAGTAGGGGTGAGATAGGATCCCCTTGCCTAAGCCCCCTCCTGCCTTCAAAGTAGCCATGGTTTTCACCATTAATTCTTATAGAGAATTTTGTTGTGTTGTCACACAAGTCATCACCAGTTTAGTGAATGAGTCCGGAAATCCAAATCCTTTCAGAGCTTCCTCTATGAAATCCCAGTTGATCATATCATATGCCTTCCTCAAATCAATTTTCATAAGGCACCTAGGAGTTGTCTTCCTATTATAGTGTCTCAGTAAATCATGACATATAAGGATATTATGAATCAGTGATCTACCTTCTACAAAAGTTGCTTGGTTCTCTGCTACTAGTATTGATACAGCTCTCTTAAGCCTCTTACACAGCATCTTAGAAATGCATTTATAGATGACATTGCAGCAAGAAATTGGTCTGAATTGACTTGCAAACTCTGGGACTAGGACTTTGGGAATCAAGGATATTACTGTTGAGTTGACTTGCCTTAACAGTTTTCCATTCTCCATGAATTCCAAAATTGCAGCAGTCACATCCTTACCAATGATACTCCAAGCTTTCCTGTAAAAACCACTTCCATAACCATCTGGGCCTGGACTTTTGTTCACATCTATACTGAACATAGCCTGTTTCACTTCCTTGGCTGTGTAAGGTTGTATGAGTTCCATCTGCTGTGTAGCATTCAAAGTAGTGCCATTCTTCAGAAAGCTATGAAATGTTTTTGCTCTTTTTCTTCCTTCCCTGCCTAGCATAGTTTCATAGTAGTCTACCAGAACATTTGCGATGCTTGCATTATCTGTTGATAATTCCCCATGTTGATCCTTGATCTGTGTAATGGTTTGTTGGAGTCTTTTGTGTCTGATTACTGAGTAGAAATATCTGATGTTATCATCTCTTAGCTTAATCCAGCTTGCTTTGCTCCTTTGCAGTAAAAACATTTCAGCTAGATAAGAGGATTTCCTGAGTTTCTGATACATGGCTGTCTCCTGTTCTTGTAAAGCTTTATTTGAGGGGTCAGAATGCAATCTATTCTGAGCTTGGTTTAAAGCTGCCCTATCTTCCTCTGCCTCTGTTAGTATATTCCTGAAGTGCTGATTATTGAGCTTCTTCAGTACCTTCTTTAACAACTTCAATTTCTTAACAACTTGGAACATACTATATCCTACTATTTGTTGTTGCCAACCTTGTGCCACAACCTCTTTAAACTGAGGATGTAGAGCCCACACATTACAGTATTTGAAAGCTTTAGCCCTCTTCCCCCTCCTGTATCTTTACTTATTTTCAGTGGACAATGCTCACTTATTCCCTCCACTGAATATATTGCCTAAACCACTAGCATATAATCCAGCCACTCTCTATTAACAAAAGCCCAGTCAATTTTTTGAAAAGACTCTATTATCACCATGTTTTTCACTCCATGTGTATCTACAACCTCCACAAGGTAACTCCATAAGTTCACAAGAGTCAATACACTCTTGGAAATCCACCACTTCACCCATAGTAACTGGATTTCCTCCTATTCTATCATCTGCTAGTAGGACAGAGTTAAAGTCTCCTGTTACCAACCATGCTTTCTTAATTCCTCCACTCATACTTTCTAAATGTCGCCATAAACTTCTTCTTTCTTCCCTTGTATTAAAAGCATACACAGTTGTCATATAAAATTCCTTCTGCATAACAACATCTGTAACCAGGCATGTTATACTTTGGGCAGTACCACTTATGTACTTGACCTGATAGTAATCAGGTCTCCATGCTACAACTACTCGACCATTATAATGTTGATCCAGATTTGTAATGTACTTCCATCCTCCAAACATATTATTTATTACTTTCTCCATATTTCCAGTTTTCACCTTAGTCTCAAGCAAGTTTACTAACCCTATATTTTCTTTAGTACATAGGAGTTTTACCTCCTTTTGTTTGTTAGGAGCATTTAAGCCCCTAACATTCCAGCTTAGCATGCTATCCATGGTCTTTTGGAGATAGGACAGTGCCTCCCCCATTTGAAACTTGTGTGCTTTGTGGTTGACTACTTGTGCTGCTCTCACTTAGGACACTGAATGTGTTGTGTCCTGTTGAACACTGTTGTATTTGTTCCTTGGGAGACTTCCTTGTGTTATGAGGTGTCACCCATCCTTCTGCATTCATCTTCCCTCCTATAGTTTTTGTTGGCTCCTTCTCCTCTACTATCTTTATGATTTCAACTCTTGTAGTTGTTTCTGCTTTGTTCTCTTCCTTCTCTTTGTTTGTGTCTTTTCCTTCTGGCTCAACATTTTGTTGCTTTGGAGGAACTACTTGCTTCTTCCCTCTACATTCTTCCTCTAGGTGACCATACTTGTGACAATGTTTACATAGAACTGGCTTCCAGTCATATTGGATTCTCTGTTCAATCAGAACCCCTTTTTCATTCCTGAATCTCACCTTATCAGGCATAGTAGAATCCACAGCTACCTCAATAAGGAGTCTAGCAAAGTTGAGACCTATCTTATTCTCTGTGTTCCTGTCCACCATAAGAGGCTTGCCAATCATGCTTCCTATCTTGCTAAGCCCTTCAGGACCCCAATACTTGAATTCCAATCCAGGTAGTTTCACCCAAATTGGGACAGTATAGAGTTCCTCCCTGGTAAACTCCATATCCTTATGCCATTCCTTAACAATGTATGGTTTATTGTCAAAATGATATATCCCTCCCTGTAGTACCTCATCTTTCCCAATCACATTGTCAAACCTCACCATAACTATCCCATTTTTCAGCATTGAGACTAGGGCTGCTTATCGGGCGGATTGGGCGGCTTTTTACTCTTAACGGTTTGGCTTAACGGTTATCGGCTTTTAAATGTATTAATCCGTTAGCCACCCGATAAGATATCGGGCGGATTGGTATCTGTTTAGCTCTTATCGGGCGATTATCAGGCGGTTTATCGGCCTAACATACATATTCACTAAATATCTCCCACATATTCACTAAATATCTCCCATTCTCATCGTCTTAGAAATAATGAATTGACATAAAAAAATAACATTTCTGAGGCAATATGATGCATTCAATTTGCTTTGCCAGAGATAATAGATTTGAATGAATATTAGATTACTTCAACAAAGATTTACTCATAAACCATGCATCACCAAAAATGCATCTTATTCTTCTTCTAGGCAAAGACCAAAAGGCTAGTAGTAGTAACATGACTAATTGAAGAAAAACCAAAATGAAAGTATGAAAAGAGAGAACATAGTACTTCAGCCATATACAAACACTAAAAAGGTTTTGGCAGCAGCTGTTTGCATATATACACACCAAAAAAGGATCAAGAACAAAACACTACAAAGACAAACTTCGTAACCAATTCAGACGGGTTTGTTACTTTGTTTAGAGACAGAACAAAACAGACGGCCTTTTGTTTTTGTTAATCATTTTCAAGGGTTTTAGTTTTGTTATATTTAACATATATATAAAAAAAATTTATATATATATATATATATATATATATATATATATATATATATATATATATATATATATATATATATATATATATATATNATATATATTCTTAACGGGTTAACGGATTATCCGTTAAGAAAATTGAATAATCCGCCCCCAAACCGATAAGCCGTTAATAAAAAAATTCAATCCGTTCCCCGTCCGTTAAGCCGTTACCAGTAAGCCATTAAGCTTCGGTTCGGATCGGTTTTCGATTTCGGATTGATTTTGAACACCCCTAATTGAGACCTTGTTAATGCCAAGTTTTCCCCACTGTCTTTGTATGTAGCTGTTAAGCACATTGAAGGGTGGGTGTGCTCCCAGCACATAGCAAACATTGGTATTCTTCCAGAAATCAATTTCAGAAGCAATATCCTCCGGTTCGATCTCATAAATTGTTGTTTCTCCATGCTTACTTGGATTCACATACTCCAATTTGAAGCTAGCATTTGCAACTTTTGTGATATCAAAGTTTTCCCAAATTGATTTCTTAGCCCTAGTTTCTACTTCTTCTTCAGCTTCATATGCCCATGATCTCCTGCCCTTCCCAGATTGTTGTATTCCTTCCTCCCATTCCTGCCCCGCCCTTTTCAATTTTTCCATTTTTCCCACAACTTCATTTTCCCCCGCCATTACTGTTCCATTGGAGCTTGCCATTACTGTACCTTTGGAGATTGCTTCAATTGCTGAATCTAACTCCAATTGTGATGGTAATTCAATTCTGCATGTCACTTCTTGTTGATTATCTTCCTTCTCCTTGCCTCGAATTTGCTCAATTTCACCTTCCTTGGTCACCATTTTTAGGTTTCGACTGTTACTGCAATTTTCCACTACTTCCTGATTTACTTGATTTCCTCGCTTCTTCATCGGATTTGTAGCTTGTCTACATGATTCTCTTGCTTCGATCATCTTCTGAGTAGGAATCCGAGTCCTCTTGCCCATGGATGCGCACGTTTAGCTAACATGCGCCGAGAGAGAAACAGAGTTCAGATTTCTATAATACCATGCATTGATTGTAGTATTTTGGATAATTTATGACCAAAATTACTTTACCCCTTTAATAAACTGAAAAAAAATTAAATTATAAATACAATTTAATTGAGTATAGTAAGTTTTTCTTTTCACGATTGCAGTAAGTTATCATTATATTTTTAGGTTATTATCCAATAGTATAAATTTTTTTATAACTCCATAGGGTCATATACTTTTGAGAAGAATATCTCTTTTATTCTTCTTCCACGAGGAAAGCAAAATTTTGATCTTTATGCCACGATTGATTTGGATTCTTTCTATGATAATTGTATCTTATTCTCCTCTGGTCAATACACTTTTTTCCCTTGAATAGTATACAAAAAGGATAATGAATAAAACTGTCTCCGTTTTAATTTGTTTGAATCTTTACGGAGTTCGATGGTCAAATTGAATAATTTTTTGTGTGAATTCGAGCATAAATTTTTTAAATATTTTAAATAAGATTTACATAATTATGAATTAATTAAAAAATATTATAAGTCACATTAGTTAACAATTTAATATTTAAAACCTATTTGCAAAAAAAACATGGTCAATTAAAATTTTATTTGATTTTTCAAATAGTAAAATATTTGTTCTTTTTTTTTTATAAAAAATAAAAAAACACACAGGGAGTATGGTCTTATCTTGGGGACGCATCACGCATGCAATTGTATTCAACGTTGCTTTAATGTCTTTGAAATACTCTAATCCTTTATACTTTGAATTAGTTACCGTGAGACTCTTACCACGGATGCACTGACCAAATACACATACTTGTATTTAATATATCATTTGTTACGTTGGATTCGGCAGGAATTTGTCATAGACCTCTTTATGACAGTTAGGTCAGGACATGTGTTTGTTGGAATTAATTAAAGTACATGCACAACATAAATTTACTCACATCCAGTAGTTACATTAGGCCAAAGCATGCTGTATATAGTTATTATATTTTTGGCTTTTGTTGTTGATATTGCTTGTCATTATTATTTTTCGTGAGTCGAGAATCTATCAGAAATAACCTTTTTACCTTCACAAAATAGAGGTAAAATTTGCATATACATTACCCTCCTCAAACCCTATTTGTAGAGATTCCATTGGGTTTGTTGCTATTGTTGTTGTTGATTCATGAATAATTGCAATCTATTACTACTTCCTCCATTTCAACTTATGTGAATATATTTCCGTTTAATCCGTGTCAAAATGAATGAGCTTTTTCCCTATTTGAAAACAAGTTATCTTTATGCAATGATTTATATTCACACAAAATATATGTGCCTTATTATATACCACAAATTTAAAAATATTCTTTCTTTTTTTAAAATACGTGCGCAGTAAAATGGATTCACATAAAATTAAGTGCTATGTATTCATGTGTATAACTCAAGTCAAACGTAGTAGATTCAATTGAATTTAATACAAAATCAGCTATTTGGATCATGGGGGGAAAAAAAGAAAATAAATACCAGTGCCTGCATTCAAGGGGAACTCGTACATTCCTTTTTTCATTGATAGGAACATCCCTTTGCTTTTGTTTGTTACTCACATTCACAGCACTTTTCTTCAAGTCGTGATTTATCCACAAGTCAACTATGAAACCAAAACTAGTCTTTCCAAAAAGAGACGGATCTAGGATTTATTGAATATGAGTGCACCAGTAAAAAAAGTTTTAAAAAAAGTATTAAGTAAGAATTGATCAATGTTCCTCAAGGTAAATAATTCAATATTCAACAAGTGTACCATTCAATTTTTTTGGAGCATGGATGCAAATATATAATATTATTAGACTAATTGTAGAAAATAAAATCCCTAATTTGATGGTGAAACAATGGGTTCATGTGCCCGTTAATTGGGATATAGATCCGCCCCTATTTGCAAAGAAATTTTTTAAGTTGATTAGACATACTAAAGTCTTTTTTTTTTTTTCCATGGAATGGGGGATTAATAACATTACACGATAAGTTGACACTAATTTATTCAAAATGACACCCTTTGACACGCATTAGTAGGGAAAGTACAAATGTCGAATATATAGTACTCTAGTATTAATTATTATGCATACACCGTCTAAGAAAAAAGTCAAATACTAACATTTCAATCAACATTCATAATTATTTTAATTTATTCAACACAATTCTACCTAATCTTATATAACTCGAAGAACTCTCCCATTTCAGAACATTATTAATGTGACAATTGCAGAAAGCAAAAGGGCATCAACAACCACTGCAAAACTATTATGTAGCTAGGTAGATATGCGGAACTAGGATTTTAAATTTATGGGTTTGAAATTCTAAACATTTTATGTTATTTGATTATAAATTATTAAATTATAAATAATCA